ACATTCAGAACATACATGGGTAGAACATACAGAACATACATGTGCAGAACATTCAGAACATACATGTGCAGAACAAATAGAACATACATGTGCAGAACATCCAGAACATACATGTGCAGAACATACAGAACATACATGTGCAGAACATTCAGAACATACATGTGCAGAACATTCAGAACATACATGTGCAGAACAAATAAAACATACATGTGCAGAACATACAGAACATACATGTGCAGAACATTCAGAACATACATGTGCAGAACAAATAGAACATACATGTGCAGAACAAATAGAACATACATGTGCAGAACATACAGAACATACATGTGCAGAACATACAGAACATACATGTGCAGAACATTCAGAACATACATGTGCAGAACAAATAGAACATACATGTGCAGAACATTCAGAACATACATGGGTAGAACATACAGAACATACATGTGCAGAACATACAGAACATACATGTGCAGAACAAATAGAACATACATGTGCAGAACATACAGAACATACATGTGCAGAACAAATAGAACATACATGTGCAGAACATACAGAACATACATGTGCAGAACATATAGAACATACATGGGCAAAACATAAAAGTGACGCCTGAGTTGTTATAAATGCGTATGTTGATGCTGTCATTGTGAATACAATTTATTTTTCAGATCAAACACCAAAATGGTTCCTCCTCTTCCTGTTACCAAAGCAACCATTACTTCAGGACATTTACCCACAATTCCCTGAGTCAAACGTCTCTTTACCAAGCATGGATCCCTGAAAGAAAGAGAGAACTACAGGGACTATCACATAGATTATTTAAGAGTTCACTACAGAGTGTACAATAGAGTACACTTCAGAGTGTACTACAGAGTGTACTTCAGAGTGTACTTCAGAGTGTACTTCAGAGTGTACTACAGAGTGTACTACAGAGAGTACTACAGAGTGTACTACAGAGATTACTACAGCGAGTACTACAGAGTGTACTACAGTGTACTACAGAGTGTACTTTAGAGTGTACTTCAGAGATTACTACAGAGTGTACTACAGAGTTTACTACAGAGTGTACTACAGAGATTACTACAGAGATTACTACAGAGATCATTACAGAGTATACTACAAAGAGTACTACAGAGTTCACTACAGAGATTACTACAGAGAGTACTACAGAGATTACTACAGAGGTCACTACAGAGAGTACTACAGAGAGTACTACAGAGATTACTACAGAATGTACTGCAGAGAGTACTACAGAGTGTACTACAGAGAGTACTACAGAGATTACTACAGAGTGTACTACAGAGTGTACTACAGAGAGTACTACAGAGATTACTACAGAGAGTACTACAGAGAGTACTACAGAGTTTACTACAGTGTACTACAGCGATTACTACAGTGTACTACAGAGTGTACAACAGAGTGTACTACGTGCATGTTTTTATTACACTGTAAAAGGTTTCTTACAGTGAGAGTAAGAGAGAGCGAACTAATTGTATGTTTTTATTACTCTGTAAAACATTTCCTTCAGTATAATAAAAGTACTAAACCAACTGTGTCTGTGTTTGAATCCAAAGAGTCCGACTCTGTGTGACGTCCCTGAAGACACCAGAGGCCTTCAGTGTAAAACAGTTATTTCAGTCACGTCCTGTCAGAGAAAACTTCACAGTCTTCGAAATCCAATACTGAATGGGTCCTCCTCTTACTGTTAACAAAGCAACCATTACTTTAGGACGATTACCCACAATTCTATGAGTCAGAAATCTCTTTACCTGACATGAGTACTACTAAGAGTTCCTCTCCTCTGCAGGTTTCAGTGATTTTGGAGTTATTATTGACCCTGTGCTTTCTCTGACCCAATGTCCCTCAGCTCCACAGCCAAAACACTTCCTGGTCTCAGACAACAGAAACACTATATAATTAAAACCATTGAGTCTAAAAGAGAAGGACAGGTTCAGGGTTAGGTTTAGATGGCGAATAGAGTCTTTTAAAACCATAAACAACAGTCTGTGGTGACCCACTGCATGCTCCTAACCGTTCAGTGATTCATAGCCGAGTGAAACCATTTTAATCTGTGAGACAATCTGTCTTCCCAGACTCATAGCTGACCACTTTCCCCATCCAGCCAGCCCGGTCTCTCCACATTGTACTTCAGCATGGACACCAGCTTGATGCCATGGCGGCGGGACAGTTGCTCAAACTGGGCTGCTGGTTCTGAGTTAGCACACAGGCCTCACACACTCAGGTATACCTCCAAACTACACTAACCTAAGAAATAGCAAAACCAAAACATTAACACAAAAAAGTAAGCTAAGTAAAGTTTGCAAAAAGCTCACTCAAGCTTCCAAACAATCCTCTCTCAACTCCTCGCACACTCCATGCAGAGACAGACACAGAAATATAACTATAATAAAATTACATTGGAAGGAAACCACCAAATCACAAAGTCAATTAGAATTCTATTTGACCCCAAACAGAGAGTACAAGCTGGCAGAGTACCTGAGCACAGTGAGGGATGTGAAACTAAGGAAAACGATGATGATGTTCAGACTGAGTGGCCGCAGTCTGGACATAGAAACAAGCCGTCACAGACAGAACTGGTTACCCAGAGAGGCCAGGCTGTGTTCACTCTGTCATCATCTAGGACAAGTGGAGACATAATCTCACTTCTTACTATACTGTAAGAAATATAAAGATTTAAGAGAGGCTTTCAGTAAACAGATCACTGATATATCCTGAGTTTAGCCATCTCTATCTATGTGGAAAGAAAAGTCAGTGTGCAGTAAAAGCTGTTAAATATATTTACTGTTACACATGAAGACAAACTACACTCAGTGTTTCTCAGTAATCACACACGACTGAAGGTATGTACATCGTCCATGTGATAATAAGAAAACTGTACCCTCAGTCAGGCCTTCACAAGTCCCTGCTGAACCATCACTGGATCCACACAACCATGTGGGAGTCCCCTAAGAGAGAGAGAGAGAGAGAGAAAGAGAGTGGTTTACTTCTTGCAGAAACGTTTATCAGACTGATCATACAGCACAAAGAGGAAGAAGAAGAAGAAGAAGAAGAAGAAGAAGAAGAAGAAGAAGAAGAAGAAGAAGAAGAAAATAAAATAAAGGTCCTCTTAAATGGAGGATCTGTGCAGTCTGAGTGGTCTGGATCCTCTATGGGTGAGTTATGTATTCAAATTTAAAATAAGTTAAAATGATTGAATAATGTAAAGTCAATAACAGATGTTGAAATAATTTCACTTTGTCCACCTGTGTTTATTGTCTACCTGTTAATGTCAGGACTGGAATGTCACTTGGTACACCTCCAGACCTCACCTGACACAGTGTTTCCAGCACACTGTTCTGGTGTGGCTGCCCTGTGTTTACCTGTGGACCTGTTCTCCTCTTTACCTGCTCTACCTGCAGCTCCGCCCACATCCAGGAGTTATCCCACTCTCCAAGCTCTGCTGCAGCAAGACGGTAGGATATGGGCTAAAGCTGGTCTTAAACTAGTCTTAAACTGTTCTAAAGCTTGTCCAATACGGGTCTAAAGCTGGTTTTAAGTTTGTCTTAAACTGTTCTAAAGCTGGTCTTCAACTGGTCTAAAGCTGGTCTTTAGCTTGTCTTAACCTGGTCTAAAGCTGGTCTTTAGCTTGTCTTAACCTGGTCTAAAGCTGGTCTTAAGCTGGTTTTCAGCTGGTCTAAAGCTTGTCTGAAGCTGGTCTAAAGCTGGTTTTAAGTTTGTCTTAAAGGGGCTATATGTAACTTTTTACATAAATCATTTTTATCGCCCATTAATAAGCGAAGGGTTAACTGATGTGAAAAAGTAGATGTTCACTGTCTATCTGTGTTGCCTGTATAAAAAGTTTCCCCGGGTCGTATTTTCCGCCAAAGCTCCAGGAAGTGACATTTTATGCACGTTCTCAACGTCCTCCTCACTCCGCTCCGCTTACAGAGATCAACAGTACAAACTCATCACACACTCCCGGTCTTCACCTCCACAGCCAGAGGCCGCCTTCCACACATTCCACAGTGTATGACCACTTACCTCCTCTGTAAACATTATGCCGGTTAATATCCAGTGTTTCACGGCTGATGATGATGCTTGTTTGTGTACGTACGAGCACGTATGACGAGCACACAAGGGAGAACGAGCAACAGGTTACTGGTGCAGTTCACCTAACGGCCATGCGGTATCGCTGCAAATGCAGTATTTTTTAAAGTTACATATAGCCCTTTTAAACTGGTCTTTATTTTGTTAATTGTACCCTGTTGTTTCCTGTCTTCCTGTGTATTTTTCTGTTGATAATCTTGAGTTTAGTTTTGAGTATTTCCTGTTTTATGTTGTAATTTTTCCCCCTGTGTATCATACCTATCATGTTTCTTCCTGCCTCTGTCCCTGCATCTCAGTTCTCTTAAATGCTGTCTCCTCACTCCTCGCTCCTTGTCCGAACCGGGAGTAGTTTTAGAACCCGCCATGTTAAGGAACGTCCCAAAGCTCTTGTAACTGAAAGGAGGAGAGAGGAGCGAGGAGCGATGACCGAGGATACACGAGAGATGACTTTATGGAAGTCTTTTTACTGACAGGCACGGCCCCTTATCGAATATCACTCATTGATTGGACGCTGCAGCGGATCAGACTTCAATGAAACTTATCAACATGAGCGGAGTTTAATTACGGAGAAAAGAAAGTGTGTATAAAATACAGAGTTCATTATCGGATTATCAGTCAAAACAAATACAAATAATAAATAAACAATTCAATATTCAATCTTTTTGTCAGTAGAAATTATCCTTTTGGTTTGAAGCAGACTGCAGGTTGTTCTTCATGTACAGGTGTTTGTTATCAAGTAACAGTCGGACCAGTCTACCTCGCGTACTGTTTCCCACAATGCAAAGTGCCAGGTCAGAGATCAAAATGCCGGACAGCAGCTGTTTGAACTCGTCGGTGGCGGTGACTGAATATCTTGCCACATTATGGGCATGAACCAATAACAAATATGACATGTTCATATATTTACAAGTCTTCCTCTGTGTTCCACCTCGGATTTTCCTGCTTTGTAGACTGTACAGTGCATGTGCCACAGCTGGACAAGCAACTGCAATTACAGGGTCCTTGGCTTGCTCTTCATATTATTCACAGCTGAGTAAAAGTTAAACCTGAATGTCTGAAAAGTATACTAAAACTTTAATAGCATGCCAATCATATTTCAACCCTGGGCATTGTGTATAAATGACAGAATATATGAGAGATTGTAGACTTGTTTTATTTTAATTATGCTAATTACCTCCAGATGGACAGATTAACCGTGCCAAGCATACTGCAAAATAACCAACGACTGGCAGTCATACTACATACTTCTGTTGAACTAAGTATGCAGTATAAAGTATATACTGCATACTGATTTAGATAGTAGTATGCAGTATGCGGTTTCGAAAACAGCCTTTGTTTCCTCCCTTCTGTGATTTTTCTATTTAGCCATGATCCTGTATCATCTGCTTTTCTCTTTGTGGCTTCCTGAGCTGTATTTATTTCCCTTTTTGTAGATTTATGGATTTTGGTTTCTTGCAAAGAGTAAGGGTTATTCTTTGGGACTTTGCTGCACGTGGGTCCATCTCTTTTTTTCGCTATCATAACATCATCAGAGCAAAGATGGACCCAGAGCCTCTTAAAAGACTGGATTTAATTTCAAAGATTAGTTATACACAGAGCATTTGTAGAATGGCTTCCGATGAGGTGAGGAGCACTGCCAACAACAAGCAGTCTACTTGGACTTGTCTTGCTTGGCAATTTTTCCTGGGACCCGTGGAAGACAGAGGAAAAGAATTAACCACCATGGTTCCCGTTGCCATTTTCTACTGCCACAGTCCAGCTGCCCAGAGTCTTTGCAGCCCCAGCAGCTAGTGTGCTAGCTTTCAAGCTCCTCAGAACTTCTGCCTTCTGGCTGCCAAGAGCCTCAGCTTCCCAGGTACCCAGTGACTCTGCCACTGTGCCCCAGACCCTATGCCATCTCGTGGCCCAGAGCCTCAGATGCCCAGAGCCCCAGTTCCCAGCACAAAGTCAGTGAGCGCATCAGCCCTGACAAACCTACTAGCTACCCATCTGGCCCATGATCCCCCTGACACATCAGTAAAAGGCCGGGTAGCCTATTACAACACTGCTCTGTCCCTCACCCTCTACACTCTTAGAAATTCCCCCTGTTAAAAAACGGTAAACAACTGGCAGTAGGGTTGCCAGGAAGTTACTGTAAAATTAACGGTATATTGCTGTTGCTGAAATTTACAGTTTTCTACCGTTTTTGTAAACACAGCAAAAAGCTGTGATTTTAAACCTTAACAGGAAAATACTGTTGAAAGAATTAACTGTTTAATACTGCTTATTTGTAGATTTTTACTGTGAATTGTAAATACTACACCTAGCTATAGATTAATTTCCTTCTACCAAAATGGACACAATATATTTAATTTCTAAACCTAGTGATTTGATAAATGATTCCTTGCATGTCAGGTTATAAAACACCATGTTTTAAAATAATAAATAAACAGTG